CTCTCTGCTCCCAGACGTTAAGAGGCCAGAGGTGATCAGCGGCTGTCCAGACCTTTCAGAGCCACTGACACGCCGGCAGCACAATGATGATGTCACTGACTCTACTGCTGGCCACCCTGGGGCTCCTTGTTCAGGGTGAGACTCTCTTCAGAAAACTTTGCTTCAGGATGCAACCAGGTTCCCCAACATGATGATCTGCTATGATGGAGAAGCACTGAGACAAGCAGCATGTACCTTCTTCCATCTGTTCTCCATGTTAAAGAGAGGATGCTCTTCTGTTTGGATGTTGATCATCTTTCTCCACGCTGTTTGTCTCAATAACCCTTCTGCTGTTTTCATGTTTTCCAGGTTCATCAGGAGAAATCCTCCTGACTCAGTCTCCTGGATCTCTGTCTGTTGTTCCAGGACAGACTCTTTCCATCAAATGTACAGCCAGTACAAGTATTAGTTCATACCTTCACTGGTACCTTCAGAAACCTGGAGAAGCTCCTAAACTCTTGGTATATCGTGCTACATCTCTTCAATCTGGAGTTTCAAATCGTTTCAGTGGAAGTGGATCTGGGACTGTCTTCACTCTGACCGTCACTGGAGTTCAGACTGTAGATGCAGGAGATTATTATTGTCAGCAGAGTAGCAGCCGGCCGTTCACACAGTGATACAACGTCGTACAAAAACCTCCTCAAATAAAGAGGAAGTGATCTGAATGAACAGCTGCATTGAAAAAAGAAAAAAAATATATCTTTGATTAAGATACAATTTTAAACTAATAACAAAATAACACTTTCAGCATGCAAACAATTGCTATTATTAAGGTAATTTGTTGTTGTTGTTTGTGAGTAATTATAAGTGTGCTAAAAGCTTTAATTACCACTCTTTAATGTCGTCCCTTACAACTTTATATTCTAAGTAACATTTTAACCGATAATAAATACATTAATATATATTCATTTAGAAATATTTAGTGAATGCTTAATTTGTACTTTTCATGTTTCAAAAAGTCCAGAAAACATTACACTTATAACATATAAAAAAAGGAAATGTTGTGCAGCAGAGAGAAAATGGAGGAATACAAAAACCACTATCTGCTGTGATATCTACAAAGATGCTTTAACTGCCTATAACAGAACTATCCGACTAGCAAGGAAAGATTATTTTTCCAATATTAAAACAGAAAATGCCGGAAATTCCAGAGTCCTTTTTTCCACTATCGATCAGCTGCTAAACACTGTCTCTGACCCCCCACCCTCCTCAACAGCTAAATGTGAGGAATTTGCTCTGTTTTTTGAGAACAAAATAACTTCAATCAGAGCTAGTAACATTACTAGTGGAGGTGGAGATGAAACCGATCTCAGTAGAGTATGTAATGTAACCATGAGTAACTTTACATGCATCACACTAAGCGAACTGTGTAAAACTGTCTCAGAAGCAAACTCCACAACCTCAGACATTGATCCTATCCCCACAAAATTCTTTAAGCGAGTGTTTGCTCTCCAGTCCGGTCCTGGACATTATAAACACATCCCTTAAAACTGGCGTCTTCCCTGATGCCTTTAAAACAGCTGTTGTAAAGCCTCTATTAAAGAAACCTAAATTGGATAACAACACAGTAGCAAACCACAGACCAATATCAAATCTACCATTTATCAGTGAAATATTGCAAAGAATTGTCTCAGTCCAAATAAATTCCTATCTTAAAGAAAACAACATCTTAGAAGTATTTCAGTCAGGTTTCAGAAGATACCACAGTACGGAAACTGCACTCACAAAGGTAATTAGTGACCTCAGACTCAACTCTGATGCAAATAAAATCTCCATCCTTATCCTATTAGATCTCAGTGCAGCTTTTGATACTATTGATCACAACATCCTAATAAATCGACTTGAAAAGCTTATTGGTTTCTCTGGCTGCGTGTTGAACTGGATCAAAACATATATCAGAGGAAGGATGTTCTATATTAGTCTAGGAGGCCATACATCAGAGAAACATGAAAGCCGCTACGGGGTTGCACAAGGGAGCTGTTTAGGTCCATTACTCTTTTCTCTCTATATGTTACCGCTCGGCGACATCATCAGAGAGTATGGTATCGATTTTCACAGCTATGCGGATGATACACAATTGTACATATCCGCTGAACCAAATGATGCGACAGCCATAAACTCCATTACCAACTGCCTGACAGCAATAAACCAATGGATGAACGATAACTTTCTTAAATTGAATGAGGACAAAACTGAAGTCCTACTTGTTGGCCCCAAATCAAAAAGAGAGACGCTAACAAATAATCTAGGAAGCTTAACCACTTGGATTAAACCGGAGGTGACAAGTCTCGGTGTCATCCTGGACTCAGATTTGAACTTCAACGCCCAATTAAACAAAGTGACCAAAATAGCTTTCTTTCATCTCAGAAACATAGCGAAGGTACGACCATTCATAAATCAAAATGATGCAGAGAAGCTAATTCATGCTTTTATATCTAGCCGACTAGACTACTGTCATAAGAAGATCGGTGATGCAGCCTTTGTAAACTACGCCCCAAAACTGTGGAACACGTTACCCAACAATATTAGGGAAGCCAATACTTTAGACATTTTTAAAAGGCAGCTTAAAACCTATCTCTTTACCAAAGCATTTTACTGACTTTGCACTATTATACTGCACTATTTCTCTATGTTTTATTCCCCATGTTTTTATGTTTAATTATTGTATCCCACTTTATGCTTTGCTCTTGCTGCTTGTTTTACACTGATGTTATGTCTTATTTCTTACCGATGTAAAGCACTTGGAACTGCAATCCCCTGTATGAAAGGTGCTAAACAAATAAAGTTATTATTATTATTATATGAATGATACTTAACGTTTTTTGCTCAAATGTATTTAAGGTTTTATAGTTATTTAGATTATCTCTAGAAAGTGGAAGAACTCTAAAAATATATATATTTTAAAACCTAAAAGAGAATTATAAAATCTCAGTGATCCGACCCTGAGACAAACTCAGTCTCTTTGGATACAAACTGTTTTGATGTGACACAGCAACATATGAGCCATTATGTTTATATAATGCATGAACACAGCTGATGAATAGGTCTTAAGTTGCGTTTGAATTGTCAGTTTAGTTTAGGAAGTAGTGATGGGAATTATGGCTCTTTGAAGGGAGCCGGATCTTATGGCTCCGTTCCTTTCAAAGAGCCGTTCAAAAGAGCCGTTCAAAAGAGCCGTTTTTTTAAGGTTACTAGGTTTATCTGCAAAATAATCACCAGGATAATGATTGACTGTATTGCCAGACCTAATGTCAATAATCGGCATTGTAAACATGACACAAGGTGGCGCCATATCCATGTCATCATGTCAGTGAATGTACTTTGAATTTACCCTCTGTATGTGTTAAGTAAATAAAGTTGCCTTGCCTTGAATGAAATTCATGCAACTCTTAATATTAGATACTGTGTTTTTAAGTGGCGATGGAGATTATTTGTTGATCCTGCTTTAAAGGATATTTTGCCTTTACAAATAGTGCGCTTTATCACTGACTGGGTTTTGGTTGAAGTGAATCCAAATGCTGCTGCGTTTTCGCGTTTGGCTCATTTTCCATCCGAAAAACACGTTGTCTACCTGTCCTGTACCACTTGGTATGACTTCTCTCTCGCGTATTCCGTTAAGACCCACCCCATCTCACTCCTCGTGCTGAAACCTACCAAACAGAGTAGGGGCGGGTCTTCACAGAATACGTTTGGGGAACAAAATCAAGCTTTTTAAAAGGAGAGTGGATTTTGGCAGGCAGTGAGTGCGGACCAACGATTGAACGATAACAAGAACGGCTCTCACCAAGTACGACTCGGTTCCCCTCGTTCGTACCAAAGAGCCGTTCAAAAGAATCGGCTCGTTCGCGACCGACACATCACTATTAGGAAGGTTTCTAACGGAGTGAAATGACCCGGGAGTGCCTCAGTGGCAGCCATGACATGAGCCGTTGGAATTCTCTAGATGATAGGAAAGGAGCTTTGAAACTTCCTTTATAGCCTCCTTTAGCTATGAAGCACTCCTTTGATTAGGAAACACTCCTTTAGGAAAGGAAAGCAGAAAAGGTTGTCCCACAATACCTTGCGGCCGCGACATTAACCTGGACACAACATTCGGCCGTTCACGGAAACAACCGACAGTGACCGAGAACTAAATATCATGAAAGTTACGGTGCTTAATAAACATTTTACAAGTTATATCTTAACTTGCCAAAGGGATTGGTTTTGAACGTTCAACACTATAATAATCAAAAGACAAAATATGAACGTTACTTTTTAACTGTAAAATGATCAAATAAAGTCAACATTTCTCAGTCTTTACTGAGTTGAGGTTTCTTAAACTTTATCAAACACGTTTAATTGGTGATATACACAGTGATAGGTTGAGGCCTAACAAGTTTATAATAAATACAATTGTACAGTATTTACTTAAAAATATTTTCATACAATCATACGTATTGGGAATCATGTGTATTAATCAAGCGGCAAACTCAGGGGAAGAGCCGGGACGCCAATACGGAAGTGCCACAAACTGCAGTTCATATATTGGCCGATAGGCGATGACTGCAGAAAGGAGCAATTTCCATAGACCCCAATGTTAAAATGCCCAATTTCACAGCAGAAAAAAAACGTTTCTAGCCCTGGCTCCAATACATTTTATTATGTATATAGTTAGATTCCACCTTCGTGATTATGAATCTGTGAGTGAATTGTTTTCTAACATGACCCTTTTATTTATATTAGGTCTTAAAGTTTTTGCATAAATTAGGGCGTGGTCACTTTGATGGACAGGTACGTGCCTCACTGTCAGCTAACAGCAATTTGTCCACTCTGCTAGGCTACAACGTTAGTTAGTTGTAGTTACTGTACTTGACCCTTTAGCCGTGTTCGTGGTGATTGTGCCTTTTAGGGAATATTGTTACAAATACCAGATAATTAAAATGTCGTGCTGTGCGCTTGAATGTACTAACAGACCTTCCAAGAAGTCTACTCTCAGCTTTTTTCGGTGAGTAAAATGATAATATTATACATGTTAATCCCGTTAGCAGGTGTTTGTGTGCTTGTTAGCTTAGCTTGTTATGTAGCTTATTATGTAGCTTATTAGCCAGCTAAGGACGTAACCCTTTATACATGTGTATATATATATACAGTTTAGTTTATGATTCAGCCTTTTATAGTATATGGCTGTGACGCCCATAATGCTAAACGGGAGCAAATGTTAAAAGGGGACCCAATTATCCCAGTGGTGGCCGCCGGAGTCCACGCCGGCCGAAGCTAACGGAGCCGCAGGGGGCTAGCTCGCTAGCGCGTCCCGGCGGCTCCGTTAGCTTCGGCCGGCGGCGGAGTCCGGCATTATAACTGGAGATCAAGGAATGCAGCGAAACGCAGACTTGGTTCGCCTGCAGCCCGCTGTAGTATTAGCTAAATAAATTATGTTGAACAAGGTTTATTAAGCTGAACATCGCCACAATTGTTCTGCTATGTATCAGTACTTTTTTTATTTTATTAACGTGTGAATGACAAGCATTACAAATAACAACAAATAGCTCATTATCTTGCAGATTGTCTCGTTTGATTATGAATGTAACGTTTATATAGTGGAACTACACTGTTTTATCAAAACCAAAGTGCCACGCAGTAACTTGGTATGCATGTATTTCAGCAGGAAATGTGCAACCTAGATGACATTTACCAACACAGACTATATAGAAATATTTGTAAAAGTTGTTCATGCGTTATTAAGTGAATATGGCATTAACCCTCCTGTTGTCTTCGGGTC